GCGGGCGGGAGCGCCGGGCCCGGCTGCCCGGAGCGCGCTCTGCGCCTGCGCCAGGCGGGCCGTTCGAAGGTGCCTGGGATGAGGTGAGCCCTGAGGGGCCGCCGCGGCCGAAACCGGGACCCGGACCGAGATCGGGACCTCAGGACGGGCTGTTGAGGAGAAAGGCTCGGGGACGGGGCTCGGGACCGAGGGGCGTGAGGGCGGACAGCACTGGGAACATGGCGGTGTTCCCTGAGGGAGAGAGCGGCCCTGAGGGGGCTTCAGTGGCCAGGGGGACCTGAGCGGGGCTCCCCGCGGAGAGAATCTGGCACGGGAGGCTCGGTATCGTACGCTTTGGACGTGAGCCTTTCCTGACAATAGTTCACATATTTATTTATTTTCTGCGGGAGGAGTAACTCGGTCTCCTAGCGACGCCCGGCTTGGCCCGACGCGGGCTGGCGGCAGCGCTGGAATCGGGCCCGGGAGCGGCAATGAGCTCGCACCTGCCTGCAGAACGCGTTACAGACACGGGCAGCGATCCAAGGAATGCTGGTACAGGAGTGCTGCGGCACGGCTGGGATGGGAGTGGGGAACAGCAGCCCAGAATAACCAAGAGAGTTTAAAAAAATTGACCTTGTTTCTGTGAAAGAATAGAAAAGTGAGAAAGTAGAGCTGCTGTCAAATGCTGAGTGGGGGAAATATGTCAAAACATACCAGGATGGAGTCAAACACTGCTCTGTGTGATGGAAGCAAGGGGAATTCTGCAGGGAATCCTTTTGTCACCTCAGTGGGCTCTGGCATCAGGCCTGGTGCAGTTCACAATTGGAAAATGACTACGTTTTTGAACTGGCTTAAGATTTCCAATTTTGCATCCTGGTCCTGTAACTCTTGAGTTACAATTACTTGTTTCCATCCTGCTTTACCAAGCAAAATTGAGAAAATAAATGCTTTTCTTTCTCAGGTTTAAATATCAAGTGAATAAGGATGTCAATTGTCACAGTGCAGCTTGGGCAGTGTGGGAACCAGACTGGGCACGAGGTGTTCAGTGCTCTCTGCAGTGACATCCGTGGCACCCATGGGCTGTGTTCCAAGAAGGAGAATGAATCCTATCAAGATGCCTGCAAGGAACGGTTCTTCTGCGAGGAAGAGTCTGGAGGTACAGCTTTAAAGGGCTTTTTTCCCCTCTCAGGGTCTGATTTCAGCACACAGAAACATCAAGCGGTTTATTTCATGAAAGATCAGTGCTCTCTGGTGTTCAGATTTGGTTCTTATCCATGGCTGCCAGGTCTGGCCTCTGGAGATACAACAGCCACTCACACTTCTGCCAGAAGCAAGGATCTGGGAACAACTGGGCCAATGGGTAGGAACAGCTGCCTCAAGCTTCCCTGAGGGAATTCTGGAGGCTGATGAGCTGCTCAGACTCCCTAGGAGTGGCAATACAGCAGCTGTGGGAGTTAAAGTAAAATTTGCTTTGTGAATAACTTCACCTTTCTGCTTTTATTTCGATGCACCCTGCCCTGTCTTGCTGTTTGTGTTTTCTGCTTTTATTTCGATGCACCCTGCCCTGTCTTGCTGTTTGTGTTACCCCACAGTTACTCTGTTCATGGGCCCAGACACAAAGAAGCAATCATGAATCTGGTGCAGAAAGAAGCAGAGAAATGTGACCGACTCGGGGGATTTTTCACGATCATGAGTATGGCTGGGGGCACAGGATCAGGCCTGGGAGCATTTGTGACCCAGTGTTTGAGAGATGCTTTTCCAACCTCATTCATACTGAACCACGTGATCTGGCCCTATGGCACTGGGGAGGTGAATGTCATTTTGCCTTTTAGTATATAATAAGTTTACATTGAATTTTTAAGTTTATAATCACTGATTAGTTTTAAACAAAACATCTACAACAGAAATAAACTAGAAAATGGGTACATTTTACACTGAAAAAGTTCAAGTATCACAGCTAAAGAATTTTCACCAAAAACTCTTGATAGTTTAAGTTCTGAAGTGATACAGATTCTCAAGAAGCTCTGTATCTAACTAGGAGTCTCCTGATGTGCTCTTATCCAGCATTATAATCAGTTCCCAGGCAGATCTGGTTCCAGCATGTTTGTATGGAGAGAGATGGATAACCTGATTCTCACAGGTCTTGCCCTCTTTCCATGAAAAGGCTCTGAGCTCCTGACCTCACTCTGCACTCTGACAAAGAAAATGAATCACTTCCTAAATCATAACTGAGGAAACAGCAGGAGCCAGAGGATTATAAACTAAAAAGAGATTAAGTTGTTTGACTCTTTTTTGTGTGTGATTTTTTGTTTGCTTCCAGGTCATTGTTCAGAACTACAACTCTGTTTTGACTCTGTCACATCTGTACCACTCATCAGATGCCCTTCTTGTCCATGAGAATGATGTCATCCACAAGATCTGTGCCCAGCTGATGAATATCAAACAGATTTCCTTCAGGGATGTCAATCAAGTCATTGCTCACCAGCTGGGCAGTGTTTTCCAGCCCACTCACACAGCAGGAGGGGGCCCAGGCTACAGCAGAAACCCATTAGGTACCAAACCCAACATCCACACACCTTTCTGGAGTCAGTTCAGCTGGGAGTGGAAGTTCTTCAGTCTCCTTGCTTAAGTATTTGGATACATCCCAAGTTTTAAGACAGGAAAAGACCAATTTAGAAGTTCAGTCCCCATGTTGTAGCAGAGTCAAACCCTGACTTCTGGTTTCATTCTTTACCAAAAGAACCCTGTTTCTCCTTTTTCAAGTGATCACAGACACCCTTGTGCCTGTTTACATTTCAGAGGAGATTTGTGCAGGGCAGTAACTTTGGACTGAGTTTCATATTTTACTTTGGGTTAGAAGTTTGTATGAACTGAAACAAACTGAGAGTTTGGAGTTTTGCTCTGGCAGAAGAGGTGAGCAGACAACTGGGTAGCAACATACAGCAGACTAACATTTGTACCTTGAAAGAAGTAGAGATAATTGCTTGTAAAATTAAACTTCCAGATCTGTCTGGAGTGCAGAGAGAGTCCTTGAGATTTTGATCTAAACTGCAAAATAAAAGCTACTAACAGCCTGTATAGAACTCAGTAATACACAGCAAGTTTGTATGGCTTTGAAATTGCTACATCTCTGAACACTCCTCACTCTTCTCCCATTGCAGCTGCCCTGGGCAGTATCTTTGTCAAACATGAGCAGCTGTTGATTTCTCTTTCCAGGAGATTTAATGGAGACATTGGTCCCACATCCCGAGTTCAGGGTGCTGGGCCTGCGGAACATCCCCCAGGTGCCTGAGACCTCCCTGGCGTACAGCACCTTCAGCTGGCCTGGCCTCATCAAACACCTGAGGCAGATGCTCATTGCTAATGCTCAAATGGAGGAAGGTAAATACACACCAGCCACTCACCTTCAGTCCCCATCACCCTTTAAACAATTGTTTGTACAGATGGAATAAAGCTGGATGTTTTGTGGAGCTCACAGTTCAGAAAAGAGCTGCTGCCCTCAGCAGGAATTTGCCCCCACAAAACCAGTTGCTCGTTTCACCATTCCCTCAGCTGTCACAGCAGCTCCCAGATCGCTCCTGCTCTGCTCCCAGACATCTCAGCTAATTATAACTATTGAAAATACACAAACCAAACCAACAGTTTCTGACTGTGCGCTTAATTTACATAACTCCTTTGGAACATTCCTTGCATGGTGAGCTCTGCTTTTTCTTTTTACACCTTCTACCCATAAAAATCAGGCTCAGCTCTCCCATGTAATTTACATGGAGAATTCAGTTACAGCTCCCAGTTATGCAAGGAATGGGCTGGAGGCTTGCTAAGTATAGAAGCAGGTATCCATTTTCTCTGACAGTGACTGCCAAGCAAATCCTGCTGGATTAGCAGTGTTTTTTTCTGGGAATTGTGTGATCACTGCTTCATTCATGTGCAGCAGCTCCAAACTCCAGTGTGGTCTCAGTTTGGGGCACAGTGATAGTTCCCATCTGCATCTTCACAAAACATTCACTTGCCTTTCTATCTCTTTTTCCCAAATCCCAAAGGTATTGATTGGCAAGTACGACCACCACAGCCAGGCTCCTCCACCCCCTCCACAAACAAACCCCTGCACTTCAACACTTCCATTGCCAACCTGGTGATCCTGAGAGGAAAAGATGTGCACAGCGTAGACTTGGGTAAGAGGGAGGAGCACAGCACCTCAGGGGCTCTGGTTTCACATCTCACTGCTGTATTTGCCACCAGATCTGATGCAAGTGGAAACATCCCAAGACCACACATTTGACTCCTAAGGTTGATATTCCCTCTGGAAATATTTTACTGTCCAAGGCCATGTTGTCTAATTGCTTAAGGCTGTTGTGTTTTACTTCTGAGTTTCCTGAAGCACTTCAGGGAAGGAGGAAGACACTCAAGTCTGTATATCTGGAATTCTTGGCTATAATGTCTGAAAATACATTTATCTGTTTCTGGAGTGATGAGCATTTCTGGCAGCTGAAATATCCACACCAGTTTGCTACTAGATAATCTAAGGAATCTGTTTGAAAGTTGTATTTTCAACAGGCTGCCCACTCTGCAGATATTTTCCCAGGCCTGAACTGATCTGACAGCATTGATTAGGCCACACAGGGATCAAGTCTGGGTTTTGTCCAAAGGGCTCTCCTGTTTCTCCTACAGGAAGTTTCCAAGATCCCTCATTATACACATCGTGGCTAAACCCTCAGGATGCTTTTAATGCATGGAAAACACCCAGAGCATTTAACAAGTATGAAAAGTCTGCTTCTTTGGTCAGCAACAGCCAGTTCCTGCTGAAACCTCTTGACAGCATCGTAGGAAAAGCTTGGAATATGTTTGCTTCCAAGTAAGTGAAAATAATTATGCTGGTACTTCACTAATAATTGCCAATATCTTCCCTGATTTCTAATGTCTGACCCATTCTTCAACACACAGAGCTTACCTTCACCAGTACACAAAGTTTGGAATCCAAGAGGAAGATTTCCTGGACTGCTTCACAACCCTTGAACAAGTTATCTCCAGTTACACCAATCTGTGATTGATTTCTTTGTTTAAATGGTCTGAAGTAGAGATTTTCTGAAAGAACCAAGCTGGAAAACCTTCCATCAACTTCCTGAAGTATGTAAATGATTGTACTGGAGTTATTTTTCAGTCTTAGGAGCAGAGTGTCTGTGTGTGTGTGTTTGAATAGCAAGAACTGAATCTGAATATATTCATATATTCATAGTATTCTTATTTAATTTATCTAATAAATGCCTATTTTTCAATACATTTGCTATATACTGTAGCTATATCCTTTTCTGACAATTTCATTAAGCAAAATTACAACTCCTGTTTTTCTCCAAGTTATAAATTAATTAACTTTCTAATTATCTAAACATATTTGCGATGAGGATGGCTGGTAGATTGCAGATGTAAGAACTTAGAATTTGATATAATAAATACAATACATTTTATAATTTCCAAAGTCAATTTAAGGACTTGGCTCTTTTTTGCACAAATTTTACCACGACCACAAGGTGGTGCCCTGGGAAGCTGCAGCTCCCTCCTGGCAGGAGAAGGGATGGAATGAATTGGGAAGGCACCCACTGAATTAAAATAAAATAAAAGAGTACAGTAGAATTAAAGATTACCTTGTAACACTGAGCTCTCTTCTGCCTCTGTTAGCTTTTCATTAATGGTAGGGAGAACTTTGGGAATTCTTGCCATTCCCTGCCCCATGTCCCACTGTTCTCCCACAGAAATAATCCCACAGGCCAAAAATTCAAAGAGTTGAATCACTCTCAAGGACTTTTCCCTTGACAAATGGTCAAATTTCACAGTGCACCTTCATGTTGTGGTGCCATTTCATTCAAAAGATGGCAGCTCAGAGCTCGGGCCCACTCTGGCCAGAAGAGATTTTCTGCTGTGTTTCTGCCACTTTCAGCCATTGTCTAATTTGGGTATTTTCACAGAAGAAACTGCAGGAAAGATTGCACAAGAAGTTCAGACAAACAGCACAGGCAAGTCGAGTTTGCAGGAACAAAGGGTCAGGAAAGGAGACCGTGGTGAGCTTCTCCCTCCTCCAAAAGGCACAGGATGTTCAGCAACACAGAAATAAATTCCCCTGGTGTTTTCAACAGATCCCAAACAGAATTTCCAGTATCGGAAATGAGAACAGGTAACTCCATGAAAACATGGCCAAGTCCCAGGAATGCTTTTCCTCCTCATTTCACAGAACAGGTAAAAGGGTTTTTCAAAAGGCTAAGGACAGGTAAGTTCCCTGAGGAACAGGGAAGAGAGCACTGGGTCATTGTAGGGCTGGAGCAATAAATAACTTTATTGCAGAAATAACCTCATGTTATCTCTCTGTATTCATAGTTCTGAGCATGAAGCAAACACAGCAGGTGCTCAGTGCACCTGTGAGCGATAGGTGATTTTATATTTATTTATATTTATGATATTTATTATTTATTTATGGCACTTCAGGCTCATGGAGCAGGATATTTGGTCTTTTTTGTTTGTTTGATGGCAGAATTTCTGCCGTGTCAGGAACACAGCACACACATGTCTAACCCCAAAGCAAAATTTCAAATTTTAGCTGTTGTAATCCCTCACTGCTCTGGAGCAGGGGCTGACAGGAATTGTTTTAGGTATCTCTAAGCTTCTTCCTGTGAATGTTTTTCAGTGCTGAAATTCTCACACCCTTTCCCAAACCGAGCCTTCATTTTTTTGATCTATGATGGGATTCCTTTATTTTTTCCCCAGGATGTGGAGAGGGTCAAAGTGACAGGAAGTGAACAGCCACTATCAAATAATCGTCACCTCCAATTACATTAAAAGCTGGAGGAGTAATTCTTTATGTAATTGATAAAATTAATTATGTAAATAGAGCCTGGAAGAAGGCCTTTATTTCATTAACAATTACAATTAAAGAGGTAGATCAAAGGTCAGCACAAAGCCGTGGCTCAGAGACAGGAACAGCAGAATCAGTGGCCTTGACCTTGCTTGTTGTAGGCAAAGTCCCCACAGGATGTCCATAAACCCAGGAACAATGCTCCAAATCTCACTATTGTTTGTTGGAATGGACAGGTGCAGCTCACTTGGAAGTTGATTCAAGAACTCCAACTATAGCAGACATTTCATAAATAGGAGAACATTTATTTAACCACAAAAAAAAAAAACCACCTAACAAAATAAACCCTGACCCCAAAAAAATAACCCACAAACAGAGATAAATAAAACAAACTCACCAAAATTAAAAATAACCTTCAATAACCAAAAATGTTTTAAACACAGTAAGTGTTTGGCAATGTAGCTACAGATACAATTTATTTATTTGGGCATAAATAGATATTGGTGTTTTTAACGTTGGACTCAATACCAGCACAGGAAGGATGGAAATATGTAAGAGAAAAAAAATCTGTGGTTCCCACAACAACCAGAGTTTAATGCATGATTATTCAAATTGCCAGTTGAAACACTACTGAGAAACACTAAGGTACAAAAGGGCCTTGAATGAATAATTCACTTCTTTCTGCATTTGTTAATACATTTAGTATGGATAAATATTGTTAAATGATAGCCCAAACATCCAAAAGGAAATAGGACCGAGTGTACTTGAAAGAAATCTGCTTTTTGCTGGACACCACTTTAAAAACTGCACAAGAGGAATCAGGAAATTGATTCATGGATCCAATATAGCACAAAAAACTTCCAAAAGGAACTGAGCTGCTGCCTTCCCTCAAGGGCAGCCCAGACAGAGCTTTTCCAAGGCAGCAAATTCCCCCGGAGCTTCCTGCTCCGGCTCTGCCCACGCTCCAGAGGCACAGCCCGGACACTGGGGCAGCTTTTAACGGCCTGCAAGTGGAGCTGAAAATGCTGAATTTGAACCATGGAGCCTTTCCGGCTCTTTCAGTGCAACCGGGGCTCACAATGGTCCCTTCTGAGCTCGCATTGTGGGAATCCTGTCCCTGCAGACCCGGCCACTTCCCCTGCCCGGGTGGGGCAGGACTCAGCCCCCGCCCTGGAGCAGCACAACCCCGCTTAACCCTTTCCAGGAGCTGCGATAAAGAAATATTCCTGCCAGCCACAGGGAAAAGGTGGAAACGGCCCCAGAGAAGAGATTGGAGAAACTGCTCCTTAGAAAATAAAGACGATTTTTAGATTAAAGCTGCTCCATGATAAAGATCATGGAAGAAATGTAAATTTTAACCCCATGTTCACACAAGCCTGAGAAAATGAAACAGTGGTTCCTAAGAGAGTCACACTTATCTGTGTGAATTAGGTGCTAGAAACCTTCTTGTCTTAAAACCAAACTGAAAAATCCCAAATGTTCCACTGTAAGATAGAAAAATCAGTAAACTGAGCGTGTTCTCTAGGCCAAAATTCCTATTTTAAAAGTAAAAACACTAAGTAGACAAACTAAAATAAGCCACTGGTTAAACCATAACCAAAAAAAAGACAGAAAAACATTGCTTGATGTTTTGTTTCACTGGTTGTATGTGAGGAGAAATGAGCCCAGTGTTGGATTTGCACTGAAATGGGTGAGTTCTGCAAAAATGATTATTGTACATTATTGCTTACATGGACAATGTCATGTTTACTTAAGGCTTACAAAAACACACTTGAGTAGCCTGAGGATGGTGTAACTATGGGCAGATGGCAGGATTGAATTTGAGCTTGTGCCCAGCAGTGTCCAAGATGTAATGGATCATTTACAGGAGCTCAGGGGAGCTGAGCCCGCATGGGAAGTGGCCTCATCCCACAGGCTGAAGGTGGAATCAAATCCTGCCTGGCAAGGGCAGCTGTGGCTGTTCCCTGGAATCTCCTCGCTGAGGATGGTGAGAGCTGGGCACTAATTCAGAGCTCCTGCTTTCCAGAAGGCCTGGAACAATCCTGAGCTCGAGGCTCCACCTTTCCATGGAAGTGCTTGCTGCTGGCTGGCCTGGCCTGCCACTGGCAAAGGAAACACCGGCAAGTTTCCTCCCCACCCCGCTTTGGGCAACTCCAGCCTGTGTTGGCTGACTGGGAGTCCCTGAAGTCAGCAATTGTGTTTATGCAGTGATTTGAAGGTGGGAATCTTTCTTTTATAGGCTGAATTTTGGTGAAGAAACCAAATGCAACTGATGAAATGGTCAAAACCAGAAATCTGGCAATGAAAAACCAAAAATCCAATTAAATACTCTGCTACTGAGAAGAAATTCTATTCCCTTCCACCAGCCACTAGCTCAGGGTTTCACATTATTTTCCTTTATAAGGATTTATCAAGCTTTCCCTGAAACCCAGTATTTTCAGGTGAGTATTTTTGCATAAAAAACAGACACAAACCTGAAGTGTGCTGTGAAAGGAGAGCTCACTCTTCAGTGAGGTGAGGAAGGAAACCTCAGCACGTGGGATCCCGGTCAAGCTGAACAAAACTGCAGGGAACAGGCTTGAACTTGGCCAAAAACGGCTCCACAGAGAGGGCTCCAAGGCCCGAGGGAGGGGACAGCAGTGACAGTCTCAAGCAAGGGTTCTCAGGCTCTTAAACAACACTTAAACCCTTTCCTTCTTCCCTGAACTGGGAGGATCTCTCAGTCACAGCTGGAATCTGTTGCCAGAGGTTGCCTCACTTTCCCCACAAACACCTGGCTCCTCCTGGGCAGCCACAGGCTCCGGGGCTGCTCTGGGGTTTGCCACAGGCAGAAGTGGGAGAGACACTTTGTACACAAATTAAAGGAGGCAACAGAATTAAAATCACCACTTGCAGTAGCAAAATATTGCTTTGAAAATGTTTTTGGCATCCATTAGTTGGAAGTCAAGTAAATACCGGCTTCAGGCATCTTTAATGTTTCTTCCTTGCTGCTCCCCACCTCGAGCCTTACACAACACCCAGGAATGCACTGCCTGTGTCACAAGAGGTCAGCTGGGCTGAGGAGAGACCTACAAATCCAGGAATCTGAGAAATGAAATGTGTTGTTATGAAAATATCCTAAATATTAAGAGCTCTCCAGAAAACAGCTGCAGCAAAGCAGGCACTGAGAGCAGAGGTTTCCAACCAGCCCAGAGAGGTTTTGTGACCATGGTGGGGTTTGCACGATGCTGTAAATGTGAATATGTGTTTTCTCTCTGAGACAGAGAAATGCTGAGCACAGAAACTTGTGTTTTCCCATCAAAGGATGGAAAAATCCTAATAACCTTTCTGAGGAAAGCCACAGTCCCTCAAAGTGAGAGCCTTGACCAAGGTATTGATGTTTCAATCAGCTCCTGCAAGAGGAGAGGTTCTGCAGGAGGTTCTTTCCTGGCAGCAC